GAAATAATATGCAGTCCAATAAGGACTTCCTGGGGATAATCCTTATTCCTGTGGATGCAGAGTTTTTGTGCCCTTGGTGTCATACCAGTAATTTATTTTTGTACCAAAGGCATGCTCAACACTTTCCAGATAAGAAGGTTTTAAAAAGGATTTTAGTGTCGAGATTGTTCTGAGCTCAAAGAAGCTGCTCTAGACAACAATTGTTTTTAAAGTGGTAACATTTCAAATTGTTGATGCGTCTTCTTTTGCTTATCTGGGGCTGGTCACGGGGGGCAGCCTAAGCAGTGAAGCCCAGACCTCCATCTGCCTAGCCACCGGGGTAACACCGGGGCCAGCTGAGAGCGTGTCCTGGGTCTGCCCTGGGCCTCCTCCAGGTGGCACATGCCTAGAACACCTCAACCAGGAGGCATTCTTGTCAGATGCCTGCACCACCTCAAATTTGTGTCAAAGATTATTCCAAGGTTCATAAAAAGAGTTTAAAAGCCCAGGGTATCGTTTAATCGCTCAACTAACAGTGGGAAGTCAAAAAAATGAAAAAATGCACTTATTGAAACTTCATATGGAAAAGTGATTTCCAGGTAAATACAGTTTTAAATCATCTGCATAGAAATGAAAAGATATGGTATAATAATTTGACTTAAACTGAGCATGCACAAAGAAAAAGAGCAGGCTAATTTCTAATGACACTTGGAGCTTTCCTCCAGCTGTGTTCGCCTCTCCTCTCTTTCCTGACAGCCCTAACAGATTCATTAAGCCAGGGATAAGTTTTAAATCTCACTCTGAGTGGTGGAGCCAAATCGAAAGCACAAGTACAGAACACATGAAAAGAAACACTGAGTTCTTGAGCACCCAGATTGTGAGCAGCAGAGGAAAGAGCTGTAGTGTTGTAGTGTATCTGTGGAAGAGCTGAACCTCCTACAGTTGTAGGGACCAAAGGTTGAAAACGTACAAGTGAGTTAAAACATTATCCACAATTACAGGATGATCTATGTTATAAAACCAAATGATATAACAAGATCAAGGTTAACAGACTTGAATGAAATTAAAAGATTCCCACAGTTGGTTTAGGTGACCATAAGCCTGTTAGTGCTGCAAACACGTGTCCCCCAAAGTGAATCTGCAGTCATACATTCCCACATAGCAGACAGGTCTGGGCCGGATCTGGTGTCAAGCTGGCACTGCTGGCTGACTTCTGGCATGGTAAGAGGTGTGTCATCCAGATATGGGCCAGGCATAGATGGCACTGTCTATGTGATGGCATGCCCTATCTGGCCCGATTGTGGATTGGTTTATGTGGCCCAGGCTCATAGAAAACAGGTCTACCCTGGAATATGGCATCAAGCTGGCACTGGTGTCATGGCAGGGTGTACGTCAACCAGATGTGTGCCAGGTCTGGCAATGATGGCACTATTTATGTTCCTATTTTCCTATTTTAGTTAGAAGACCCAAATGCCATGTTGCAATACTAGCACTCAGTTTAGAGAAAGTGTGTGAATGTGGCATGTTGTATAGAGCACTTTGATTAAACTGGGAGAGCAGATAAAGGGGTGTATAAGAATCAGTCCATTCATTGTCTGAACAGAGCTTTGTCTTGTTCCTTATGTGCTATTATGTTGTTGCACATGTTGTTATTACATGGCTTGATTCAGGTACACATTAGGCTGACATCTGAGGCCAGAGCTGAAACTGTTCTGGGCCAGCAGTGTGTCTGCAACTGGCCTTGTGCTGGCAAATGTGTGGGCCACCACTAGGAAACCAGATCTGGTCCACCAAAGGGCCGTTATTGTTTGCGGGTCACGTGTATGCACATTGTGTGGGCCAGATC